CCGAGAGTCATAAGTCGCCTGCTCTACCGACTGTCCGTAAGCTATACCACCCCGTTGTTGTTGATGTACAACATATTGGGAACCTCCTTGCACATCTGTAAATATAAAATTTCACATAAAAAACACAATAGAATGAAATTTTTAGGAGAATCTTCCATACGCTTTTTTTTTTTACAGAAACTTCTACAGAAATGATAAACTGAGAAACAAGAATTATTCGCTTGTGTTGAAAATGAAAAAATCAGTTTTACCCTGTTGCATTTGGATTAGTTGTTACTGCTGCTGCTGCTGCGTATGATCAACCATTTGCATAGAGTTAGCACCCGTTTCAACTTTCATTATCATATTACCATCATATTGTGTCGGTCCTGCGGAGATTTGGTAGGTCAATGCATGAATGATCAGTAACAATAATTAATGATAATATACGATAAACTGTTGTTGAACGTTTGGTAGGATTATGATTAAATTTTCGACTTGTATTACACTGTTAACTGTTTCGCTAATACTGGAGCTAATATTTTTTCAACTTTATCCAGTCATTTTTACAGCCTAGCAAGCAGTGGAAAATTAACCATTAACATCCTGCATAGATGGCTGAGGTCCACCTGTTACACTTGTTGTGTTGCAGTAGCACCACTAGCAGCTTGCGCTTGTCGCTTTTGCAAGATCATTGAGTGAATCTTCATTTTTGAATCCATTGCAATGCTTGAAATTTCCTTATTTAAGTCTAAATGCCTTCTTTTTTTAATATTATTTCATATGCATTTTCATTCCGTGTAGTAGAGCGATGAGACAAACCTTTTACTGCACAAATTTTTTTGATTAGCAATCACCAGCTACCATAGGTTATAATCATTTTGTGAAGGTAAAACAAGTTCATCCAGATCTCTGGCATGACATGTACATGAAGCTTGACTTTAAATATCAAACCCGAAGACCTCTAATTTCCTCGAATTTCACATTGCATTATGAATTTTAGTTTCAAATCGTGGTATGAATGCCTTATGTGAAGAAATATTAATTCGTCATCTGCTTGCCCCGTACCAGATGGAGGCTCTGAAGGCCCAGATGCGAACTGCTGCGGTACACCTGTTTGCTGTGGGCCAGTAGCCCAGGTGCTCGGGTATGTAGGCTGCTGAGGTGACCTCCACCACAGCCGACGGCACTACCCATTTGTTGCTGTTATTGTTGCGCAGCGGCAGCCGCAGCCGCAGCTGCTACAGCTAGCTGATCAACAGTTTGCTGCCGCTGCTGCCGTTGTTTACGAGTAGTAGTTCCTTGAGAACGTGTAGAAAGACCTGCTGCTTTGCGACGCCCTCCTGCAAAGAAAAGAAATAAAACGAAATAGCGACGAGTTATTTCATTTTTTTTGATTTTAATTTTTAAGCAATATAAATTTCGAATTTGTAGGATAATAAAACTGATATAATCGGTAATAGCTACCTCTTGCACCTCTTGGCGACACATTGTTTTGACCTCGTCCTGTTAGATCTGGTAGTGCTGGCATCGGACCAGATTGCCCTGGAAAGATCATCGCCGTAGCAGCGGTACTTGATGCACCAGGAGTACTAGATGGAGTAGATCCATCGGGAATAGATGTGCAAGTAGGAGTTGAACTTGACTAGTAACTCATTGCACGGCCTTACACTGCAGGACCCAACGTTGTACCTACATCCATGGCTGCACCACCTGAGGACACCGGTACATTCTGGAATGAAAGGAGCCTTACACTGAATGAACTTTTACTGCTTTATCAACATTAAATCACTCACTGAATATTCTAATCACAGAAAGAAGATATGTCAAACACAATCAAAGAAGCTTTACTGAACTATGCAAAATATCTAAATCAACCAAAGATTTTCCACTGCTACCAGTATGTAATTCTAAAGACATACCGTAGAACTAGCAGATGTAGTTGTTGAGGTAGCTGCACTGGAAGAAATATGATGCAGAGTTGCTGGTGTCTCTGATACATCCACCATCGGTGGTGTCTGATACATCCACCATCGGTGGTGTCTGATACATCCACCATCGGTGGTGTCTGATACATCCACCATCGGTGGTGAAAGATAGATTAGGCAGTCTGTAATAAATTAACATCATTTGATTATAAGATATCACTCTAGATTATTCATATCAGCTAAGTTATAAAGTTAATCTTATTCAACCATGTAGATTGTTCCTATTATTCAGCAAGAAAGAAATTAGAATTAATGATCAATAGGAGAACAGGTAGATTTATGCTAAGAATTGACGAACAGCTCGAACTATTTCCATATCTATAATCTATTTATAAGACTCTTTTGTAGGAAAAATATAATTCACCGATCCATCTCTCACTCCCTCTTCTTCCCTTCCTCCCTTCTGTTGTCTCTCCCTCCTCTTCCTCCTCTCTCTCCTCTTTTCCTCTCTATCCCTCCCTTCTTCTTCTCCTCTCCTTCCCTCCTGTCCTCTCGCTCCCGGCTCTTCTTCTTTTTTTGAAGAGGGTTAAACGAATCCCATTGTGATAGATTCAATCCCTTTTTAATTTTTTAAATTCAATTTCATTTCCGTGAATAAATTTGTTGACCATACTAGCAACTTTTCCCATCCAAAAGGAAAAGATTAGGTGGTGAAAAATGCGATGAATGGTAGGTGATCTGGGTAAAATGTTCTGTTAATTCATGAAAAATATTTTGAATTATTTTGTGGCTAACATCTCACAATTAATATTTGTTTGATTTTACTTATGTGAAGATATCGTGTCTTGTGATGGGTGACTGTTTCTGAAGCTAGAATCTTTGATCAATGAAAACAGGACATCAACAGTAGAAGCAATGCAAACCTCTCTCGATCTTAAAATGGATAGTGTTATTCAGAACGTTCGATCAAAAACTGCCGATAATTAATTTTAAGGTTGGATTTTGTAGTTCTGTTAAATTTATAAAACATCTGGGCTTTTGATAAAAAAATCATTGTTCAGGGAGGAAATTTAAAATGACCTTTTCAAATGCTATAGTGATACGTTGATTTTCAATATCAATTTATATTCTTTATTTTTTTCAAATTTTTCAGAAACAAAAAAAAAAAAAGATTTTGGAGCTGGAATGTTTTTCACAGCACTGATTTGCCAATTCCATAGTTACTATTTGATTTTTTGCAAACTTTTACAGGTATATCGAAAATGTGTTAATGGTAAAGGATCCTACCATTGCTGGTAGCTACCGCCATGTTTTAAATCGATTACAAACATCTTTAACAGGTAAAGCAGGAGAATAATGCGTTGGTATTATTTGCTAGATATAAAAAGTTAGCAAGTGTGCGTGGTGAACTAAAATAAATTTTGTACAAATCTTGTCAGGTTTTGTAATATTTTATTTTGTTCTAAAAACAGTAATGATATGTCAAAGATATCACTGTGACAAAGCAGCAGTCCTGATCTATTGCTTTCGTTCTGTCTTTCCAGGTTAAGCGTTGTATTTCCGTAAATAGGATTCTCTCATTCTCCTACATAAAGTTTATATATTTTTTGGGATAGTATACGGGTTGAGATCCAGTCGGCCAAAAAATGTGTTAATTAACAATATGCTTGCCGTCTAAGTTTGAAACAATTTTCGTTATCTTGGACAAGAATATTTTGAAAGACATTTTTTAATCGAATGTCTCAAAAAATATATTTTATGTATGATTTTTTTACAGTCTGTATAAAAGGTAGGCAAAAATTTATGTGTGATTTTACTTTATTATATACTGAGGAAGTTTGGTGCAGCAGAGAAACCAAATATAGAAGGAAGTCAAGAAAACATCAAATAGAGAATACCCTTTCTAAATTATAATCCAATTTCAGTCTTTGTGGTTTGTACAAACTAAATTTGATAACCTAACTCTCAGACTCCATGAGAAGTGTGCTATGGAAGTTATGGCATGCATATATATATATATAATACGTGTGTAAACCGACATACTGAAATACTCTGCTGGAGAGATGCGACCAAAGCTCATAAAATTTCGAGTTGAGGTTATGACTGTCGCTTTATAGGACCTGTTCGAGTATTAATGAGAAATTATATCTCTTGAGAAATATATCTCCTAATCATAGATAAGTGAAGAAATTGCTAGGCAAAGACATATACATTTAGGTACAAAATTGATAACATTTAAAATTTTCAAAAAATGCATTTTTATGTTATGAAATTAATAGTTGAGGAATTTGCAGGGACATGGTAAATAGATGGTTAATATGTGAAGTTTAACTGAAGCAATGCTTGGTTTTTATCGCTGATATTTACCCTTGATAAGTGATAAATAATGTAATTCTAAGTGTAAGTATTTGACTAATTTTTTTAATGCGATTACAAGAATGATGGCGGTAAATGTTTTTGAAAGAAATTTTTTCTCATTGATATTTTTATCATTGATATTTGCGTTAGGTAAGTGATAAATAATGATTTGCAAATTGATTAATCTTGAATAAATAAATTCTTTTCGTACGATGCCAAAACTTATTATTATTATTGTTATTTTAGTTATTCCAGAAAAGATATGAATCTTCTATTCATTACATTAATAATGATTTCATTTACTTCAAAAAAAAAAAAACTAAGAAGGAAATAGCAGATTTCGTCAAAAATAAAATATCTCCGCTTTTTTCTTTTATGACTTTTATTTCGTTTCAAAGTATAATCTAAACTTTGTGTTATGGATAATGAAAGTTTGATCATTTACATACGATTTTTAACCCTTTCAATTTCTTATCTAACTCGAATTAAAGTAGTGTTTTAATATCTAAGCTTGAAAACTTAGGCGATTTCTGAAAATTTCTCAAAAAAAAACCATTGATAAAGCAATGTAAAATTGTTGATTTTACTGATTAATATTGTCGTTTTATCATGTCAAATCTTCCTTCAGCAATATCACAAAGTAAGAATCTTTTATTTTTGATAAAATAAGAAGAATAAAGCAAAAAATAACAAAAAAAAAAAAAAAAAAACGTTCATTTTCACATTTAAGCGTAATTAGGAAAAACCCGGCATATCATGCATAATATCACAAATGTGAAATGTTTTCCTTTGTTCGAATTTTGTCGTTTCAGTGAGTTTTTTTGAATTCTCAAATGCTACTGTTTTAGGTTTATGAAATTTTGCTTCGTTGATTAAATTAATAGCAGCCGAATGATTGGAAATAATTTGACATTTCTTATTATCACCGAGTTCTTCCACTTCTTCATGTTTTAATTTTGTCTGGATTAATTGCTCTTTAGAAGATGAAATTATTTTGGGCAGATTGACAATTTGAGAATGTGGAACTTTCCTGATAATAGTATTTTTTAAGGAACATAAGCGTTCGTGGCGCAATTTACCCGAATAGTTATAAAGCACTCGATTACAGTGAAAGCATTTGAATCGTTTAATGGTTGAATGATAATAGCTGAAATGACAATCTAGATCGTACGCTGAACTGAATCGACTAGTACACATCATACATTCATGTGGTTTTTCGTGAATTTTTGCATGTCCTGAAATTTAAATTGATTATTTGACATAAAATTTCAAAAGAAAAGTTCAAATCTCTTGTACTTGAAATTAAGCTAAGAAATGATTCAACTTTGCAAGCACTTTGCTTAATTAATATTCAATACAATATATTTGATCAATAGTTCAAAACTTACTACTTAAAGCACTTTGTCCTGATAAATGCTTATTGCAAATCGTACATCGAAATAATTTCCCTTTATGCTTGGCTAAATGTTCCTTAAAATTATAAAAAGTTTCATATGTTCGATCACACTGATTACATTCGAATAATTTTCGTTCACCATTATTTTCCTTCACAGTATTGCTTATGTGCGCTAAAATTTAAAACATTTGCAATAACAATTATAAGGATTTCCAAACTCTTTTCTTCTTCCTTAAAAAAAAAAAAAAAATTGTATCACAGAAAATTCAAATTGTTACTAACCGGAATGTTTTTTAAGTTCATGTGCTCGCATACGTTTCTCTGATACAAATGTTCTTGCGCATTTTTCGCATTCATATTTGCGCTCATGATGAGCCATCATATGATCCTAAATTCTTCAATCTTTATGTAATATTTCATATTAATCAAAAAAAAAAAATTATATTTTACCATTAAAAATTAGAAGAAAAAAATCAGTTCAATGTTTATTATTATTCACGAATGCCATTCATTCGAGATATTTCATTTAAGTTAGCTATTTTCAAGTTTGGTAAAAACATAAATAAAAATTATGCAGAATTATGTTATCAGAAATGTTACTAATCATAAAGTTAATAGTAACAGTAATATAGTAGTAGTAGTACTAGGAAAAAACATTTATTACTTGAAAAAATTTAGAAATACTTTCTTTAATATTACCAATTTTTATAAAATATTCTTGTCTTTAATCTCAACGATACATTTTAAAATTCTTATGTAAAATAATTCTATGATTACTATCGCTTTCATTCATTTTATTTTCATAAAATTTCATTTTTTTTATAATTCCAGACAAAAAAAAATCAATTCACTGCTCATTCTTTTACATATTCACATATATATATTATTAATAATTTAAACTTTTTGATGATCTCAAAACACTCCATACAAGAAAATTTCATGCTCTTCAAGAACTTACAAAACTTTCAAAATATTTTAAAAAGTCACAAAAATTTTCTGAACTGAAATCAAATAAATGGTTAAAAACCTAAAATTGGGCAAAAAAAAAAGAACGATAAACTGAAACCTTTAAACAAACCTGAAAATCTTTAAATGATCCATATATTCGACCACAAATTGGGCATAATCCTCTTGAAAATGTAATATCATTTGTAATCAAATTTATCGGATATTGATTAGTAAAGGGTAGTGGAAATAAAGGTAGAAGTGGTTGAATACGATTGTCAGTAGTCGAAAATAATAGTTCGCTGATCGGTCTAGTAAATTTGGAAATGTCAAAGGTTGATTGTATGGAAGCTGATGAGTTCGCTGAAAGAATAAAATATTAATAACTGATTTCTTCCATTATTTTACATGAAAACATTATTTCAAAAAAAAAAAAAAATTTATTTACAGTTGAAAAAAAAAAAAACTGTTTATTGATTCATTTGATAATTTATTGGTTCTAACATTTAATTATCTAAATTATTCACTCATTCATCTCATATGCAGAAATTAAGTAATTCTTGCATATGCATCCATTGGCACTAATTATTTGCAAACAATTAGATGAATGATCGTCTATTCTAATACTTACTTATTTTATTGAATAATCATCAATAAACATTTCATTTCTTTAGTGATCAGCTTTATTATAATGCTGTACTGCTCTAAAGTCCTTATCTATCTAGTTGATTTCAATTTATTTTAATATTTATATAATTAATTGCAATTCCATTGAACTATCATATTTCTGTAATCAAAATTTTGGGATATTATGATTATGTTCGATTATAAAAGTATCAAACAATTTGGTGAGAGCCTTGAAAAAAAAAAATAAATAAATAGGAAATAGAAATTTAACATACCCATATAAATTTGTTATTTTTTTAGCAAATTTGAATGATTGATATAGACGATACTGAACCAATGAATGAGCAAATAACTAATATGTAAATTTGGGTTTTGATAAAAGTTTAAAGGGTGGAGTAAAATTGACCGCCATAATGTCAAACGATAAGTGGGAAATGAATGAAATTTGATGCTTATCGTTATATTTGTCTTTAAATAATTTCAATATTGCATTTAAATTGCAGATAACAATCTTTGCAAACTTTCTGATAAATTTTTTCAACTGTCAAAAAGGATGGATCGAGTGTGAACACTGTTCCATTCACTCATCAAGGTCATTCATGAATTTTCAATTGCAATAAGATTTCGTCGTATAGCTATCCTAATTCCTTCACATATTATTGATAAGATCAGAAAAAAAAGAAGAAAAGAAAAGAAAAGAAATTTGAGAGATGGATGAATTTTTATGAAAACAAGAAAAGAAAAGAAAAAAAGAAAGAGCGAAAGAAGAAGGACAGTTAAGATTGGGAGGTGTTATTTGATGAGCTATCTTTAAAATTTAAATTATCGTTCCGTTTAATTTCTCTCCAAAATCATCCATTACTTTTCTTATCATTTATATGTCTGTCGATTCATATATCAATCATTAAGAAAATTAATTTATTCTATTTTATATGGAACAGAGAAAAAGTTATATGGGGAATTTGAAATGAGGATAGAGAAAGAAAGTAAGCAACAGATAATTTACATTTGCAATTAATTTCTAAATTTTAAATAAACATTTTACATTAGATAAAGTTTAGCTAATTGTATTACTATTAATTAAATTAAAATCATCAATAATTTAAGCAACTGATTGCATATCATTTGTGATAATTTTGATAATTATTGATAACATATAAACGTGATAAGATGATGAGCTAAATCTGCATTGAATGAATCAAATTAACAGATATTAAGTGAATAGACTGTACGCTTCAAAGTCCATACTTCATCATTCCTTTCACGACAAATACTTATCAAAATACTTCAGCGGAAATCTGCAATTATTCATTTCAAATCAGTCACATGGGAATAAAATTTTCATACAGCGTAAATCAGAGTAGTACGAAGAACTGCTTGCTGCTATTTGACTTTGACTGTGGTCCAGACTTAATGTGAGTTACTTATGTATTTGTGGAAAGGTCAAAAGTATAAGCTGTTAGCATGCCTTCGAAAGTTTGCATATCCAAGTCTAGGTTTACTTTCTTTCTTTCACAATTAACAAACTATTTATATTCAAAGAGTTATGGTATGACTAGATAATTATTTCTCCTCAGAATTCTTTCTGATTAAGAACATTATTACTAACATGCAAGATTTTACTGGAATACAGGTACTGTAGAAAATTCAATATAGTGGGTTTCATTTTGTTTAATTTGGTTCATGTTTCTAACTTCTATTCATTGGTTTTAATCTTAAAAAAAAATGGAAAAAAAGAAACGTTACGGATTACTACATTATCATTTTCTGTAGATAATCATGCGTAGAAACTTGTGATATTCCTTCCATATGGACTGACATTATTTTTAACATTATCATTTCTTATAGATAATCATGCGTGGGAATTTATGATGTCTCTTCCATATAAGATATACATGTGATTTTCTTCCACTGAAATATTTGAGAGCATTACATTGAGAAATTCAATAAATCATTATATAGATAGTAACTAATTGCTTGCTGTTGTGAGAGACAAGGAAGCACCGATGGTAAATGACTCATTAAAATATGAATCTGAACAGATGATGAAGGATAAGAAGGATGAAGATGGTGATTTGGTGACACCGTGGGATGTTACAGCATCAAGCAAGAAAGGCATTGATTATGATAAATTGATCGGTTAGTACTACTTTTCAACAAGATTTGCCTCAATAAGTCTGAGCTGTTCTGAAATTTAGAGCAAGATCATTTCATCTAGTTTAATCAGAAATGATAGAAGTTTCCACTGTATTAGTTCAGAATCATTTGATCTATGCATATCTTTTGAATAACATCCATTATTGTTATTTAAACTTTATTTCAAATAAGAAATCTACCTGACAAAAATATAACAAGATACGGATGTGATAAACTTAAAAGTTAGAGCAGATGTGCAAGATTACATGCAACAATTCCTATATCATGGTCTTACACCTTATTTGTTTTCTTTTTTTTTTCTAAATCAAAATTTTATTGATTCTTCCAATCATTAATTTCTTCGACAGGAGAAAAGTTTCCTATTGCTAGACATCACAAAAAGTGTTTTGAAATTTAGTTATGTAAACAATGCAGACTTACATGATATGTCTAGTAATAAGAAACTTTTGAAAATTGATGGAAATATTGATGGAAACTGATATTTGGTCATTTTTTATATAATTTTCAGCAAAATTTGGATGTTATAGAATAACAGAAGATTTGATTAGTCGGTTTGAACGAATTACTAACCAAAAAGCACACCCAATGCTGCGACGTGGGCTATTCTTTGCACATCGGTATGAAATTACAGAGTATCTCGTAAAATATATTTTGTTGATATGAAAATTGGAAGCAACTTTGATTATTCGGATTTGACTAGTTACGTCTTCTCTAAGTAAAAGTTTCACAATTGAGGAGTAATTTCTGTTATGATACCTCATATTATGTGATTGGAGATTGCCGAACGTTCAAAAATCGAGTGAAAGAAAGAAAAAAAAAAGAAAACAGTTAAGATAAAGAAATTGAAATAAGTGGTGAAACATGTCTTATTTTTCATTTATTATTGAGAAAAAGAGTTTCGTATATTTTTAGTGATTGTCACTAAATTTGTATAAATTAGTTACAGAAATTCAACAATAAAATAATTACTTGTACAGTACTATGAATTGATTAAATATAAAGTTTTTTAGTGATTTGTCACTAATTTTGGATCGCTTGGAACAGAAAAAGCCATTTTTCCTATACACAGGTCGAGGTCCGAGTAGTGGTAGCCTACATCTTGGACATCTTATCCCATTCGTTTTTACAAAATGGTTGCAGGATGTGTTTGATGTGCCTCTCATCATTCAGGTTGGTTATTAGTCCTACATTGAAATTCTGGACACGTTCCTTTTTTTTCATTGCAGAAATATTTCAGGATATTCTAAATCTTTTTACGCAACATATTGAAATACATGGTTATATCTTATTTTATATCAATTGATATTAAAAATATAATACATTTACATACTGTGTTTCGTCAAATTTTCAGGTAACAGACGATGAAAAATTCCTTTGGAAAAATCACACACTAGATGAAATCAAGCGTATGGCAAATGAGAATATTAAAGATATTATTGCTTGTGGTTTTAGTCCTGACAAAACTTTCATCTTTCTAGATACTGAGTATATGTGGTAAGTGTAACTATATTTACGCTCATTGTTTGTTCCATTCAGATCAATTGAAGTAAATTTCAGTCCATCCTTTTACACCAATATTTTGAAAATATGGAAACTTGTAACAGTTAATCAAGCACGATCAATTTTTGGATTTACCGGTGAAGATTCAATGGGTAAAGCAGCCTTTCCATCAATTGAGGCAGCTCCATGCTTCAGCAGTAGTTTCCCTTTAATATTTGGGAAGCGTGAAGATATTCCATGTATTATTCCATGCGCAATTGATCAGGTTTGCTTATTTTTACAAAAAATATTTTTCTATTTTGATTTCAAATATGTTCACGTTCAGATTGTGTGATTTACATCTTTTAGGATCCTTATTTCCGGATGTGTCGTGATGTTGCGCCACGATTGAAATATTTAAAGCCGGCAATGATATACAGTTCGTTCTTACCAGCCTTACAAGGTGCGCAAAGCAAAATGGCTGCGTCTGATGCCACCACATGTATTTATTTGGATGATACGCCTAAACAAATAAAAAATAAGGTTCTATTTTCTTATCTAATTTGTCGAGGAGGACTTTTTGCTGAGATTTTTGAAGAATCCTTGGGAATTTTCATTCATTGAGCAATCCTAACAATAATCGTTTTATAAGATGTATAATCTTATCATTTCTCCCTAAATGAGAATTTTTTTGTTTATTGTATTTTGGTATCTTTTTTACTTACTTTTCATATATGCCTTTTTTTTGGGCTTATAATGACGGTTAATTTTTTTTACCTTTTGCAATGATAGTAAAGAGGCATTTGTTATGCAGGTCGTCATTAAGAAAGATGGGAACCAAATAAATGAACCTGTACAATGCTGTTTGCCTTCTAAAATCAGGAGAAGCTTTTATTTAAATATTTCTTTTCAGATCAATAAGTACGCTTTTAGTGGTGGACGTGATACAGTTGAGGAGCATCGTAAATATGGTGGTAACTGTGATGTTGATATTTCATATCAGTTCTTGCGATATTTCATGGAGGATGATGATGAATTAGAAAGTATACGTCAGGTAAGTTTTCAAATCTGTTGTTTCTAGCTTTCATTTATGAGCATGTTCTATAAACTGATAATTAACATTTACATGAAAAGAAAAGTATGAGTACTTTGACAACTCGTTTTAATAATTACTTGATGCAAGTGGATTAAGCGGACGAATCAGTTGTTTAACTTGGTCTTTTTAATTTTTTTTTTCTTAAATGCACTCCTGTTGTGTTATAAAAAGACATACTGCATTAAATAATTAGGAGTTTTGACATTTCCAAGTTCATTTCATACTTTCATAGCTTAATTCGTCCGATTATCTGCAATAGTTTTATTGCAACTGCGCTTCACCTTGTCCTGGTGCAAATTTGCATATTGCTATTAATGTCATTGCAATTTTTTTCCAAAACTGATAGATAAGGACCATATTTTATCTCCTTGCTTTTATATCACTCATTTCATTAATCCAGCTTTGATCTATAAAATTTTCTAGCGTTATGCAAACGGTGAATTATTAACTGGTGAACTTAAAGCAATAGCCATTAAAGAAGTGCAGCGGGTTATGACAGAATTACAGAATCGGCGAAAAGAAGTGACCGACGAAGTAGTGAAAAGTTTTACTGTTCCACGAAAATTAAAGTATGATTATTGAGAAAGGAATATAACTATTCAAAATTTGGTTTGGATTTTTGATTGATTTCGTTTCTTTCCTTGAAGGTTGTTTCAAATTTTTTGTTTTGTTTTTTGTGCTTAATTAGGAATAACGTATAAGTTTTCTGTTTGTGGGATTGTTTAATTCTTATGACTTAATTTACATTTGTCCGTACTTGCGTTAGTCTACATTTATATGAACTAACTTTGTTGCTTTAAAATTTTTGAAGTCTCCCGACAAACCATTTTCTTGTTCATTTTCTTCTGTTATGCTCTCTTCTGTTTACTGTCATTCTACGCGTCATGCAAAGTTGTGATATGCTTTTTGACATTGAATGTTGGCTTCTTTAAATGTTTGGGATATCAAAATTTCAAGCATTTTTTTTTTTTTGTTAATTGTTAATTGTTTAAATCTTCAGCTTTTCAGACTTTAATATTTTGATGAAATTGTATTCTACAAGCTGGTGATAAATGTCGCAGTTGAAACATATCCAGCATCTTTCACCATTCAAAAACCATTCACAAATATATTGGCATAATTTTATCTTTAAAATTTATTATCACACAGTCGAAAAGAGATCAGTAAGCAGCTTATTTATTTTCTTTAACCATAATTCATGACTTCACGTCAAAGGGTAGTATATAGTTCTGGCCATGATTTTATGCAGTACAAGTTGATTTTAGGGTAATCCAATAACATGAAGTTTACTTTCTAAGTTTCATTAATGAAAATTCTTAGACATTTAAGGTTTGGATCAGTTATTCGTCTATGTTTTTATTAGGGGAGAATACTCTCTGCTTTAACAGCTAATTCTCAAACATACATTTGCGATTATAAATATTCGTTGTGATTAAACAAAAGGGAATGCTGTATTCTTGGAAGAAATAAAATGCATTTATTAGAACTTTTAATAAGAAAAATTGCTGGATGTTGTGAATTGGGAAAGTAATTACTTTCATAGTTCAATCAATGAAACAGAAAAATGATATGCCTTAATAAATACAAATGATTACTGTTATATTTAAAAGTAGCTTAACATTTATAATTAAAGTTTCATTTCTATCATGCAATCATTGTAATAAATTATCTATGTAAATATGACATGTTAATGTCATAAATTTTAAATTCTTGTTCAACATTAACATTTAATTTTTAACACATATCTATTCACCCACAAACTTCATTTCTAGTTCATCAGTTTTTATTAGATTATACTTTATACCGCTAATATAAAACAAGAATTTAAAATAATGCTATAATTTCACTAAATTATAGCATTATTTTAAATATTATTTCTATAAAGTTTCTAGCATTAAGTCTATTAATAATATGAATTAGTAAGCAATAAGTGAAAGAAAAAACAAAATAAAACAAAAATGTAGAAGATATGGAATAATTGTAAATAATTGTAATCAATTAGAATAAATTTTGAATAGTTTAAGAGTATTGCGAGTAAGTTACGATTATTCGCATTAGTATTCAAAATGCAAAAATATGTAGTCTGGATAGTAATCATTTAATTATTTATTCTAAATCATTTTTTATTTAATAGAAGGTGAATGTAAACTGAATATAATCCTATTGCGAAAAACGTTAAATTATATATTCTTTGAATTTTCCCAAAAATTTTACGGGTATAGTGTTGATGGTGTTGATTTTATGAAAAAATACTATCAATACTGAAAGAGTAAATGTTCTATTCATAGCCATTATCAATTTCAATTTTAATTTTAATATGTGGTAGATGCTTTTGAAGGACATACATATTCCATTAATGAATGTTATAAAAAATGATAAATGTTTCTTCTGATGACATTTCGACCTTTTGAATGTTTATGCAAATTGTGTAAATTATATGAAAGTTAACTCTCTTAGATAAGAATCTAAGAATCGAATGATGCCGAAAAAGAAAAGAAAATGAATTATCCTAAATGCTTTTAATGGTTCCATTCCATTCTACCATTTCTGCTTTTATTACACTTTCAAAAAGTTCTCCAATCAAAAAAAAAAGTAGCGCAAAAGGAAAAATTCAATCATTCCTACAAAATTTCTGCATTTGTTATATTAACTAAACAATTAGCATTCTTATTCAAATTGATTTAATCAGAAATTTTCCCTAATATGATGAATTGATTCCAAAAAAAGAGAGAAGTGATACTAAAATAATGAAATAATGAAAGCAAAATATCATAAATGAATAATCTAACTATAAATATATATTTATTTCTTAATACCAAGCATTAATTTATCAACAAGTTTTCAGGAATTCGAAATCAGATAACTAATTCTTTAATAATATTTTAAAATTTCTTCGAACAAAATAAATTGAAATTTATTGGTCTCTTATCGTCAAATTTATTATATTTCTAATTAGTTTATGTGCGATTAAATATTTGCACCAAAAGTTTTCCCAAAATTTAGGAATAAATGAAAATATTTTTTCTTTTTATTGATGGTTTTAATACTAATATTATATTCAAGAAATTTCTTTGTTTTCAAAAAATAAAACTTAGTTTTCAACATTTTATCATTGCTTTGGAAAACATAAACTCTGCATTATGTAAAAACGAAAGAAGTAGTTTTGCGATTCCGGGACAAGCTGCTATTCCGGACAGTTGATGAAGTCCCGGTTCCCGAATTTACTTGAATCTTCTCATATGTTTCATTTCTTATTCTTCATTTCATACTCGACAAATCGAGTGAAATCATCATTTACGGTTGCAAAGTTAACGCAACTAGCAGCGAGTGGTTTCGATCCACCGACCTCTGGGTTATGGGCCCAGCACGCTTCCACTGCGCCACGCTGCTACGCAACTTTCAGCACCTACCTCAAAATTAAATTTTTAATAGACAAAATTAATTATCGTCGATGAAGTTATTTATCATTTTAGAAATTAGTTACCACTTAAAAAGTTTGTTATCGTCTGAGAAGTTAATTAACGCTTAGTATTTCTCTGAGAAATTAATTACGGCTTTTTCCATACTTTTTAAAGCATATAGGAAATACAAGAAGAAAATAATTTAAATTGAAATTTGGTAACAATTAACAGTGATTTGTTATATGAATGAATAAATTAATTGTTAACTTAATATTACCTGATTTGGATGTGTATACTAGTTGTAGAAGATTGTTTGAAATTACACAAATGCATTTTGTAACTGTTTTCTTCCAGAATGAATATATTTGGAGATGAAATTCAGTAAAACATTTTTTTCTGCTGAAACGGAAATGAGAACATTGATCAAATATTAACGATAAAATAACATTTTCTGTTTCCTTAGTGAAAGTAGTAATAATAACGTTTTCATGGGATGCAATAATCCTGTCAAACTTTACATTTAACAATCTTTTCTTAAAATTAAAAAAAAAAAAAAAGCTATTTAAATATTTTGAAATATGCCAAAAATTTTGAGAATTTATGTTTTAAGTTTTTTGCGATATTACTGAAATTAAAATTTAATCTTGCTGATTCTTTGAAAAAATCAACAATCAGAACACATTTTATTTGCCTGTTAAAAGCGATTAAATGATTTTATTTTGTTCATTATTTTCTCACACAATGATTACCAATTACTTAGCAATTCTCTAATTATTAAAGGAATACCTAAATTATTAGATAGATACCCGATTTATTGGAAGAATACCTGAATTATTGAAAGGTTGTCTAAATTATTAGGGCAATGCCTAAATTATTAATAATAAAATAGAAATAATATTGAAAACAATTAGTGATGATCGCTGAAATCATTCGCAATCTTTGTTAGACTAAATGAAAATTTAAACTTTCTAAAACAGTTGTAACAATTACTTAAATTCTGTCCATTGATTTAGACTATAATTATTAGGTTATGATAATTATGATTGGTTGAATTGCTTACTTTTGTTATAAACAATAAGCATTTATCTTTTAGCAGATCGATTAGCAGCACTTTTTCACATCCTGAAATTATATCTAAATGGCGGTGAATTGTTAATTACAATTATAGTTATTAGTCAAAGACTATCAAAAATATATGCTAGCATAATGATATAGAAATGATTAATACTTATTAGCTAATCAAATTTTATGAATTCAAAGAAAGCAACAATCACTGCTGCAAATATATTAGCATAGTACGGTGAAAGATATTTACGAGTTATTTATTAATTTATCATTAACAATAATAGCAACAAAGTTTCATTTCACCATACATCAATTTATACTCGTAACTCATTTAATTATAAATTGCATCTATAAAGCTACTTAAGCAAATCTAACATAGGCAACAAATGAACAAATGAATTCCAATTTCATATAATTCTCATAACTTTTTATTTCCTTTCCCATTTCCATAATATAAAATTTTAAATTATATAAAAAATTCTGAATTATAAAATGATACCATTAAAATAGTATCATTTTAATACTACTGGCGGAATTAATGTTCAATGAAAAATGATATAGTTCGAAATGTTTAATTTTGTTTTATATTTTAATAAGTCTCATATATGAAGTACATGCTTAGCTCAATGTTTAATAACTTGTTTTTAAAAGTAAACTCAATTTTGTTAGTTACTCAAAAAAAAAAAAAAAAAGCAGGCAATAGAGATATGCATGCAACTTTCTGATGACTAAAAATTTAAATTGAAATAAGAATTTTTAAATGAAATTAGCTCGTAATTTTTGGCTTGTTATGAGCTACTTATATAAGCTTTGCTTCTATGAACTAATGTCGCATCAACTTTATCACTTATTAATTTTGCTATTTATTATGTAATTGCATTAAAAATTTTTTTAAACGTAGTAAAAGATAGTAAAATTTGTACAAAAATTTTAATGTTAAAGAAGTATTTATTACAGTTTCGTCATAATTGCTGCTAAAAAAAGTAATGCTAATTCGATCTGAGTATTTTTACATCCTTTTATTGCTTTTATTTGCTGCTGTAATGAGAGCTGCTAATTTAGGTTAGTCAAATTTTTCATTTTAGTTTTAGATAAAAACATAAAAAAAAAAAATTGAAATGCTGTGAGTGAGCATAGAAAAGAAATAGGGTCAAAGTTGAAATGTCAAACCAGAGATTACAAAGTAGGTCGAAGCAATTATCATAATCATTCAAAATTAGTAGTGCACTTACTGATTTTTCCTATGCATTGAGAGATTTTCATTTAAAATCTTTTCAAAAAGATGACAGAAATTTTTTTCAAGTAAAATTCTTTTCATACATTTTTTTTCAAATGTCAAAAGTAAAACTTTATTCAATAACTTTATCATATAATATGTTTTGAGCATGTGAGGATATTATAACAACAAATAGTGGAAATGTAATATATTTGCAAGCTAATTATGCAACAAAACATGCGCCAGGGACAGCAGCGCTTATGTCATGCAAATTTGGTTATGTTAGCTCATTTCCTTTCCTGGTTTTTTGTCAATCAAATGGTAAATGGAATGATAAGCTTGGTCATTCTTTCTCTCATTTGAATTTTTTGCAATTAATTAAATATAATTTATTCTATGATTTTTAGTTTTCATATTTTTTGATAAATTTCTTTCATTTCAAATCAGCTTATCATATAATACATAATTCATCTTTAGCCTTATAATTAATTATCTTACCTTTAATATTTCAGGTGAATGCACATTAACTTCTAAAGCTTGTAAACCTCAAAATACTGCTTACAATGTTGTTTACATGCCTGTAAGCATTTTTTTAATAATATATATGTGTGCATGTGTGTTCTTCACTTGACTTTTCAAATTTTTGGTTATAAAATAATGCAATAAAGAAAAAGGAAAGCACTAAATAGTAGGGAATTACTCATAGACAATTACAATTTAAAATTACTAATAAAGCAAAAGAAAGAACTCAAGTATATTAGAAATTTCTCGACTGGTATATTCTTCATTTGTATGCATATATGTATTTTACTCTGAGTAAGTGCATGAATTGCATGCATTTTTATAAACCTACATTTTTCTTGCTTGTATAATAAGTAAAATTTCCAAATTCTAAAGAACTTCGTTCTCGTATTCAAAATGATTGAAGCAAAAAAGTTAATAAATACGAAAATGATTGATGGATATTTATTCCTATTTACTTTAACTCGGCGTCTTGTAAATTTATGCATGCATGCATGAATGCAATGCTTTATGTTATTTCAAAAAATTGCATTTTTAATCACATTTGAAGTCATTTGCGTTTTTTTTTTTTTATTTGTTAAATTTTTTTTTTCTTTGTAGCCAGAAACCTCTGACAGATATCCATCCGGTACATTTGCAATATTGCATTGTTCGGTTGGCCAAGTACCAATTGGACCGCTATCTGCTGTATGCTTGGATGGAAATTGGACTGCCGAACTGGGTTACTGCCAAGAATTGTTCGTGGGTGGTATTTCTAGTGCTGTGGATCGAAGAAGTTATGTCATAATTACTCAGCCAAATGATTATATTCAATCAGATAGTAGCACACAGTCAGGTAAGTATACTACAATAACATTCATCATAGTATTCAATTCACGACCATTTAATTATATATTGTGATAACTTAACTGTAATTTAATTATATTACAATGAATATGTTCTAATTGTTATCACTTTTGATTCTCTCTCGAAATAATTTTTCAGCGATGACATCTGATACTATCACTATCAATGCAGAAGCAAAACAATCGATTATGACAAATGCAACAATAACAGAAACGCAAAATGAAACATTGACTGAAGCAATTTCAGATGTTTTTTATGACAAATACAATACTATTTCAGAATCAAATTTAGAAGAAACAAATACGACTGAAAGTTTATCGCAACAGCTTATAGACAATAACGAATTGATCGATGAACCAGATAAAATGACAATAGTTTCAGTTCTAGCAGATGACTAATTCAACAAGAGATTCTCTCTCTCTCTCTCTCTCTCTCTCTCTCTGTATGTGTATGTACAACTAAAAATTATTCTTTAATTTTAACTTTGTAATAAAATTGATAATTTGCTGAGAAGCGATAAATTCATTTAGAAAAAGTATATGAACTTTTTCAAATATCATTCAATATTCTTTAACTGCTTTTTTAATTTTAGCTTTATAATAAAATGCTAATTTGCTAAACACTTAATTAAGAAAAATCCTTTTCAATGGTTAAACGATAATTTCATCTAAAAAATGTTATTTAAATCTACAAAAAATATTGCAAAAATCGGAAAAAAACTGATTGGTTGATTGATTAAAATTACTTTAATACTTCTTTAAAACATTGATATTATCAAATTTTATTATCTAATACATTATCATTTAGATGTGTACTTGTTTAATTAAAATTGTAAACTGTACAATATTGCAATTCAATTTGGTTAAAATTGTTTTATACATAATCAGTTAAAATATATGAATAATTACTGCAATAATTCATACATGTAAATATGCACAAATTTTAAAATAATATTTGTCATTGATTATAAGCGAATTTGTTTGCAGTGAACAAATCACAAATGTTTTGAATGATTTATTAAGTAAACTTTCCTTCATTTCTTATTTACCATCGTTACGTACTTGCGTTTTACCTTTTTGATCTTTCTTGAACATCCAATTCATTAAACCCATTTTGTATGCACCGATAGATGTCATTAGAGTTGTTACGGTGAGAATTATCATCTTATTGTTTAATTTACCTGTCATCATGATTCTATGTTTGGTATATGTGCCAGGAAATTAATTGTTCACGAAATTTGCTGAATGGATGCTTTTGAAGGATATAAATGTGACAGCGCAGTAATCAAATTAATAGGGATAATGGAAATTGAGCAATTTAAATTGAAAACAGTGATTAAATTATTAGAAAATTATATATTTATACTTTTACAAGTTTGTAATTTATGGATGAATTTTTGAAATTATGCAAATATTATTTAGAAACATGTGATTTTATTCATTATTAAATTCAAATAGTTATAATTGGAAATGAATAAATTCAAAAATTATAATTGCAACATATTTGTTTGACAAAAACAAAAATCATAATTTTATTCCATTGAAAATAATTTTAAATGAATTTAAAGACGAATTAATGCGATATTATAATGGTATTTTGAAATAAATTAAAGAAAATACTTTGAATAATAACCCTTTGATGAATCATTACATTACCTATTTTTGCAGTAAACAAAAAAAAAAAATAAATAAATAAATAAAAGCATAAAAGTAAAATAGCAAATATGTTAGCAAAAAATAAAATATTTTACATTATGAAAAGCATTCAAACATAAAGCATAGGTATATTTAATTAGTTGCTTTAGTATGCCATTATTGAACAGGTAAATTGCTTACAAATGTAAACATCAGTAATCAGTAAAAACATCAGTAATTGTGATAAACTTTCACCAATCAGTTTATCAATCAATTTTTTGATGCATTATTTAATCATTATTATTAGTACCGCCGAATTATTTCAGTTAACATTGTTTAAATTATATTTTGACATTTTAATATCATTGTACTATAATCTATGTATGATTACTTCATTTAAAATAAACGTTCAAATTAATATTGGTAAATAGAAATTAGAAAGATTGGCTAAATAATATTCCACCAATAATTTTTGAGTAAATTTCCTTTCTTTCATATACAATAAAGAAAAAAAAAAGAATTTGTGAATACAAAAAATAATGAAAATTCAATATAAATGCAATAAGCGCTAAGCTCTTTTGTCTTAAACAAATTCACAATAATAACTTATTTTTTCCAATGGCTTTAACTATTTATTGCTATTAGTGATTTGTTTTCATTTTGCAAATATTGAAACATTTGCAAATTTATTTATCATTTTATGCTGCAATAAGTGTTAAAAGCTTTAATATGTCATAAACATATTCTAATATCAAATTAATTAATACTTTTACTTAATTTTTCATAAACAGTAAATGGTAGTAAATGATTTTTTCATCATTTGTCTCAGAGATTAGCGATAATTGATGAACTATGTAAAAATTTATATAAGTAATATTTGGAAACAAATGATGTGATATTTTTATGCGCCTAAAAAGGACATGGTGAAGAAACATTTGCGCAAACATCAGATAACTTATTTGACATTTCAATGATTAAATATAAATCTGAATGGAAAAGTATATATGCTACAAAAGAAGAAAAATCATTCAAATAAATTGGTTAAAAATAAAATGAAAAAGTAGGAGAAAATATTTATAAAAAGTGAAATTTGTGAAGATTTAATATTTATACAGAAAATAAAATGTTTAAATTTAAATTTTTGATAAATATCATAATGCTTCATCAATCTGTCCACGTTGTAGTGATGATCGCATTGGTTGTTGAAAAATGACACCAAATTTGATTAATAATATAAGCGCTAATGATGTAATCATGACAGTTGCGCTTACACCAAGCAACACTAATACAAATGTTGATCGTGGTTCTTCTGAATTTTCAGAATTGCTAATAAATCGTTTGGTATATTTGTGATAAAAAATAAAAGATGCAAAATAAATAGAAAATTTTGAACTAAATTTTAATTCTGAATATATCAAAATTACTGATATTGAATATTTTATTATTTATTCATAAACATATAATATATTAGCTAATTTTTAAATGTCCAAATTATTGATTTCAAATTTTGCTACGTATAAGTTTAATTTCATTTTTTGTTTAGGTTGTATATAAGTTCAAAAAAGAACAAAGGAAATGATCCATAAAAATTTACAACAAATATTACCTGTATCTGTTGGATTAATAGATAATTTGGGTTCACGAATAGGTGAAATTGGAGGTATGCTAAGTCTAGAATCTATAATTAGTTGAATTCATTAAGCAGTTAATGAAAAAGTTTTTTTGAAAGTAATTATCAATGGAATTCCAGTAATGCTAATGCATCCTTATGTATCTACAACTGATAAATTTCGGTTACTTCAAAACAATTTTAATTTTGTAAATATTTATTGGAAAAATTTTCTATTATCACAGTTATATTCAACAATGTGATTTAACGTATATTTCTGTATTAATGTTTATTTGATTCATTTATACATTTATATAAATGATAAGATGTAAGATGATAAGCTTATTTCATCTATATTAAATAACTGAAAAGCTGCAAAGAATTTTTTTTTTTAAAAAAAAGTGACAGTGATAATTAAATATGATTAACAGTTATAATTTAACACTTTGCAAATTATACTAATAGAATTTTTTATTAAAAAAAAAAGCTAACCAAATATGGTTGGTTGTATTTTTTCTTGCAATATTTTAGAAATGGTAGTAGCAGTGGCATAAATTGTTGTTATTGTTGTTGTTGTTGTTGTTGTTGATTTGGTTGATTTTACTTTCTGCGGTATCTTTGAAATGGAAATATTAGTGGTAGTTGTTGTTGTTGTTGCTTGTTTAACAGTTGGTTTTGTTGATTCAATGATTTTTGTGGTTAATACTATTGTTTCAGGAATAACAGTAATATTCATTGCTGCTGCTGTCGTTGCTGTTGTTGTTGTTGTTGTTGTTGTTGTTGTTGTTGTTGTTGTTGTTGTTGTTGTTGTCGTTGCTGTTGTTGTTGTTGTTGTTGTTGTTGTTGTTGTCGTTGTCGTTGTCGTTGCTGTTGTTGTTGTTGCCATGGTTGTTATTGTTGTTGTTTTGTTGTTGTTATTGTTGTCGTTGCTGCTGTTGTTGTTGTAATTTTCGCAATAGTATTAGGAATATGAACAGCAACAGCAATTGTTACTATTGGTGTCATAGTTGCTACAAACAATCATAATAAAAATTGCGAATTAGTAAAATTTAAATAAGCAAATTAATTAATTTATCAAAATTAATCTATCACAGTGCTATTGTACACTACAAGCATATTTATTTATTAAAATAAATATGATAATTTGAGAGACAATGGTTATTAATGGCTTATAATGTTTGTTTTGATTATGAATAATTTAATTGAAATTGCAAAAATCGCTAATTGTTCACGTTCATTGATTTATTTGTTAAGAAGTTAATAAATAGAGAAGAAATTTGATAGTATCTTTTAGTAAATGATAATTTTTTTTTTTAATTCTATAATTGAATAAAATAAATTTAATAAGATTTTACTCTGATTCTTAATGAAACTTTCAACGAATGCAATAATAACAGCAGCAATAATGACCAGTTGCGCTTTTTGTTTAAACTTCCTGCATTTTTTAGCTAATTTTTATTTTGCTAACAAAACAGAAAAAAAAATAAAATAATGTCACCTGTACACAGTGACATTACTATTGTATTTTTTACCCAATACTCTACGTCATTTGCGCTTTCCTTCAAATAAAACTCATTACTAGCAATCAAATTTAATTAATTTTGTATGCTTGTAGTAATATAAATCATTCATTTCAAAACGTTCAGTCTATTGTAACAATAATTTTTCTTTCTTTTTTTTTTTTTTTGCTCTCCGCCAATTTCCTAAATTTGTTGAAGAATGCTCAAAATATATTCTATCAGAATTTTTCTCTCTCATTTAATCATTTAATTGAAATATTACTAAATTAATTTGATAGGTCAATTTTAGGTTTGTTTAGCAAAGGATTATTATCAGATTTATAAATTAGAGTAAATTATCAAATTAACAATTTTATGCTAACTTACCGCTTATTTTCACTACTACACATTATCTTTCTTCTCGAAGTATATACCAACCAATCGTTGCAGAAAAAAAAATTACTGAAAACAATGACAAAAAAAAAAAAAAAATTTCCATAAATACTGAAATAATTATAGGAAATTTGGTTGAATGAAAGTTAGTAAATTATAAAAAATTTTTTGCATGATTGGACAATTAAATTTAAATAATTTCCCATGAAAGTAGCAATTTTTCAATGCACGAAATGAAAATTACTATAAAATCAATTTGAAAAAAAATCGAATTTTAAATTAAAACTAAAAATATAAATTAGAAATTGAAATGGAATTAAATTAGAAATTGGGAAAAAGAATATTAGAACTTTATTTTCATCTTTCAATCACATCATCTAAAAGGTTTCATGTGTGAAATATTTGGGAATGATGTAAATATGTCAACAAATGTTACACAAAATTAGCTTTATTATTTTCTAATGAGATAATATAAATATTTTAACATAAATTTAGATATATTTCTGCTATTAATTAAAAAAAAAAAACTTTTAATTAAGTCTAAAACAGATACATATATACAATTATTCATCTATCCATAAATGTTATTAACACTGAATTTTTATTATTAAATTTTCGCTTTGCATTAAAGCAAATTTGAAAAAAAAAAATTTAAAAGTAGGCAAAATTTTTGAATTTTAATTTGCATAGCAATTGCAATAAGTAATAAGCGAGGATGCAATAAGTATATAAAAGGAATAGAAGTAAAATTTCATTTATTATTGTAAATTATTTGTCATTGATAACAAGATTAACTGTAAGAGAATTAATTAATCAGTTTATTTTGAAACTAAAATATTTTGAAAAGGATGAGTGCACTTTGCATTTTATTCATTTTGGGATTTATTGGCCTTGGCGTAGCATATTATCTTGGCTATTTGGATCAATATGTTGCAAAAATTAAATAATAAAAACGATGAAATGCAGTATATCAGATAAAAGATATTTGACAAATTCTTTGAATTAAATTAAAATGATCCATATTTTTCCTTTTTCTTTGTATTATAATATATATATAATGTATGTATTATATGTATTTCAAATTATTTGAAATAAACACTTATTCACTGGGCGAAATAAATTGCAAATTTAATTTTTTCTTTTACAATTCTGTCTAATCAGCAACTCATTCCCTTATTTGAACAATAGCAAAAAAGTATAATACATTCAATTAGAACAGAAAAAAAAAAAAACATTCTTCTAATTTTCTTTAAAATTTGAGAAATTAAAAGAAATTCACATTGAACTATTTTATGTGAAAATATATATCACTTCGAGTATTTGGAAATTAAAATATCTTATTAGTAAAGAATGTGGGATAGGAATTAAAATGTTTTTTTTTAGCAAAGAATATGAGATGAAAATTAAAATCTGTCTTTTTTTTTTTTTAATAATTAGTCATCCATTAATCATTCATTTCTCATTTGTATAAGATTTGTTAATGTTTTTTAAAACAATGTTTGACAATTTGAATTTAATCTATAATTAAATTATTTGGTAAAAATTGATAAAAATTTTGATTCATTATGAATTGAATAATTAACTAAAACTTTTGCACTTATAACTAATTTGTCAGCAATGAAATTCATTTGAATTAATTAGAAAATCTAATGATTGCACTATTTATCATTCATTTATATTTCGTTTTTTTTTCTCCTTCTTTTGTAACTTTTCCGTTAAATAAGACGTAAACACAAGTGTCTAATGATTTTACAAAAGCAAATAATGAGAAACTGTAACATTTTATTTTTACTGTTTGCAATTTGAATTTCATAAAGCAATAAAATTATCAATTAATATGCACAAGAAGATGGCACTTTAAAATTTCTTCAAAAATTGAAATACTGAAAGATTAAAATTTCCATTCTATTATTTACTTGTTTCATTGAAAAAAAAACTTTTTCTAAATTAATCTCTTAAAATGATAATACTTTTCCTATTGAAATGCTTCAATTATTTTCATTTACTCTATTGCGCATAATATTATTTAACTTTTCCCATTTAGTTTTCAGCTTTTATTATTCATAAAACAATTTAAATGAGACAATATGTGTCATTTATACAAGGTAAGAATAATACTTAACTTAACTGTTTCAAATATTAGTTTTAAGAGGTAAGCTACCTTGATATTATCATCAAGTACACTGATATTATAGAATGCAAATATTGTCTTTTGTTTTTAAAATTTGTAGCTACGATTTTAAACTTTAATTTTTGTCGTTTAAAGAGTATATGAATATTTAGTTAAAATTAAGAAAAGTATTTGATATTTTTCTTATTTCTTTATGTTTTCTGAAATCAGAACTAAAATGTTTAAAAAAAAAAGAAAAAAAAGATTAATTTTGAGCTTTTTTTCCCTTTTTTTTTCCTTTTTTTTTTTTTTAATGAAAAATTAGTACAATTCAAAAAAATAAACAAAATGTTCGATTTTATGGTTTTGCTATAATCATTTTCATTTTATTGAAAAAAAGCACAGTAATATTTATTTAACTATTATTAGAAATAAAATTCATCCATTGTCTCACATTTCACATCATTTAAAAAAAAAAAAATTTCAAAATTTAATGAAATGAATTGTTCATTTACATTTATCGCTTAAGCAATTTCTTGAAATATGCAAATTTTTTAAAAATAAAAATAAATATTTATATAAACCAACAAATAACGAAATACAATCATTGTTCATCAAAAGCCCAGAAGTTAACTAATTTTCTTAACCCATAATTTTGATTGGGTTTCGTATTCACGTTGACTTTACGTGTTCGTGTTCAATAATATTGCCTTGCAATTGTGGGATAAAATGTCGGAGACAAAGCGACAAGTGGCATTAAGGCGAAGTGGTGCTAATCGTGCAAAACGAGGTGTAAAATTAAGTAAACCAATTCGAGACCGTGTAGCATGTCGTGATGAGTCACCAGAAATTCGAAGCGTTCGGAAAGGACGAATTCGTCTTGGTAGTGTTGCACCGTTGTTATCACGTCGAGCTAAAGCTCTTGCCATGGTAACAGAAGCATTTTTTATCAGTTAATTTGAAGAGAAAAAAAGATTTGTTTTTTTCTTAAAATTTAATAATTGATATTTTAAATAAAAGAAAGAACAAGTTGTATTAAAATGAATGAATTTCAGAAGACACATTACAGTCACTACTCAGATGATGAAGACTCTGACGATAGTTGCACGGGCGATGGTGAGGAGGAGAACGAGGAAGACGAGGAGAAGGATAATGATGAAGAATTTTATGATTATGATCAAAATCATCGATCATATAATCATCGTCGTACACCATCATATCATGTTAAGTGCATGTAATAAATTATCGTTCTAATTTAATTCTGAAGAAAATTTAAAAAATTTTTGTAACTTTTTTTTCTTTAATATAAATTCAGGAAAGATTATGAGGAAGATTACGACGATCAGTTAGTTTCATCAACATCAAAGCATAATCGTACACAAATTAAAAAGAAAAAAAAAATAAGTAAAACACGTAAAGCGACCACTGCTACGCCAACAATTTCAAATAGAACAAAATCGCTCACAAATGGAAAAGCTAAGAAAATTACTGCTCGATGTAAGTCAAAAAAAACAAAAGCAGTACATAATGAGGAGACAATTCCATCTGGTCCAATAACACGTTCACGTAGGTATGACATTAAAATTAATTAAATTTTGTTTTCTTTCAAATAATTCCTCTTATTTTTTTATAAATTATTTGATAATCATTTATCATTAAAAACTTTTGTATTTTATTAATTATTTAGAGCACTGATGATGACCATGAATGATTATTAAACAGAAATTCAATGACAAATAAATCAAATTAAATTTATTCATTTCTACTGTATTTATTATTCATCGATTAAATCATAAATGAATAAATTTGCTATTACAATAAAATAAAATAAAATGATATTATTAATGTAACTGTATGACACAATAAAACATTCAATCAAAATTTACGTTTTTTTTTTTTTTCTAACAATAAACATTGCATATAATTGTTAATTGATTTTATGAAAAAAAAAAAAGAAGAAATGCATGCTAAAATGTTTGAAATATTGAAAATATATCGATGAATAAATTAATTGCAAATAGTTAAACAGTTATTATTAAAGGATTTGCTCATAATTTACAGCAATTATTATTTAAAATAATCCATAATCACATTATTTTCAAATCAAATTGTATATTAAAAGTTGCTAGATGAAATGATAATGATAATGATAATGATAATGATAATGATACTTGTGAATTACATTTGTAAATCTTTTCAACAAATTTCATAGGTATTAGTGTATTAGTCTCTCCCTCTCTCTCTCTCTCTCTCTCTCTCTCTCTCTCTCTCTGTACTGTACTAGTCATTTTCTGTTGTACTTAAAATTAATTAAATGCTCACTGAAATATTTCAATGGCTCTAATATTTTCCAAATTTAATATATCATTAATTTTTTCAAAAAAAAAAAAAAAAACATTCATTTATCACAAAGTACAAAAATGTACTGTAATGAATAATAATTATTAATATTTTATAGCTTTTATGTGTGGATTGCTTATCATTTGTTGTTGTTTGATATTATTATGAATATGATTAAAGCAATTTACTTAATTAGACTAGGCTTAATTTGAGACATATCATACTTCTAGGCTAGCAATAACATTGTTAGAAATTTGGTTTTTTAAAAGGAATGAAAATTAGATAATATAAAAATATAAAAAAATTATATAACAATATGAGTATTCTATCTTATCTTTCATATGTTTTTCATTCTTTGTAAAAAAAGATTTATACATATATTTTTACAATTACTTAATAAATAGATAATTTAATTTGCAAGAAATATATAAAAAGCATTCAATTATCAATAAATAATTATTGGTGTTTTATGATTATCAGTGATAAACATATTAGAATTACATAATAAGTATGATTTAATTGAGAAGAAACCTATATGAAATTATTTATCAATAAATTTATGTTTAC